CAGACAATATGATTTCCAATATATCCAGTATTCTACAGTTAGACTGAATGCAAATATAAAAATTATTTTAAATTAATTTAGAAATTTTTACATAACAGATTTTACAAGTATATTAGTAGGTATGCTGTATTTACGAATAAAGCAAAGAAAGTCATCTATCAAATTATGTTTCATGCAGTTCTAAACAAAGGCTGCAATCATAACACCTGAATATTTGGCTCAATTTCACTCATAAAATCAAAATAACATAGCTGATCACATTGTTCCTAATCTTTGGCACATTACTACACATTTCAACAGTTTTTTTTTTTTTTTTCGTGCCGCCAATATAACAGAAAAATACCCAAATTATTCCAAATTAATTCAGCTTTTCCCATCAGATTTTATAAGTGTATCTACTAACAGATATGCTTATATGCCAAATATTTTTGCTACATATAAACTGCATTATGGAAAGGAATAAGCATATAGTATCATTATTTATGTGACTGTATAAATATATTTATTCACCGTGAATTCCTAATTCATATAGTTTCAATCTGTGTAATATCTCTGTTCAGTGTAGATTGTATCTGTGTTATCAGTCAGAGTATAAAGAGAAAGTATCAGATGGATTTATTGAAAAACAAATATTACAATATGAATGCAAACTAAGAAAGTGCTCAAAGGAAAAACAAGATGACTCTGTGACTGTGAGTAAAGAATGTACTGACACTGGAAATAAAGTAAAGAAATTTCTGGAAAATTAAATCTAGAAATCCGGCAAACAATTTTCAATTTTAAAGAGGGAGAGAGAATAGAATATAATGCAAAACAACTTGTACTGGCAAAAAACATTAATGGAACAGTGGTGTAGCTAGGGAGCGGTCCTGGGCTCAGCATCTGGGGTGGGGGAGGGACCAAACTGATGTTTTAGAATGAAATATTATCTATTTCCTGAAATAATGAGAAGGCACAAAATCTTTGATTGTCTCTGGACCCTAGAAATCCTAACTCTGTAAGTGAAAATGAAACACAGAAAAAATTTATGAATAAGAAGAAACAACTCAGAAAACGAAATTTACAGTAGGACATCCAATATCCAAAACGATCTCAAATCTGTACCTCAAACACTAGCAAACATTTTTTTTTAAAGGATTTTTTTTTTTTTAAATATAACTCACGCTTGCACATTTTACATTTTTACATAACATGTTGAGAATCCTGATTCTCAATTTGACTTTGGCACTGATATCAACCTCGCGAAGCATTATTTTATTATTATTATTATTATTATTATTTTGCTTTCATCACTGATGATTATCAAGACAGTCCAGCTTGAGAAATGATTTGCAGCAGTGTCTAAACTTATTTTTTTTTAAATATTAGTTACTGAATATCAAAGAGCATGGTAATTCTTTTAGATTGACATTACGCTTGGCAATGATTGCAGGCTTTGGCTATCCTTTGCAAAATATTGTGTCGATAAAGAAAAATTTAACAGGAATTTCCTTCCATATGCAAAAAATGGTTACAGCCAAAAATGTTATGGAGAAAACAAAGCAAGGCAAAATCGTTGTGGGAGAAAATAAAGCAAAGAGAAAACATTGCAGTTCTAAAGCATAGTGGTACAAAATATTGTCGCCGAAAATAAAGTGGTTTAAAAACTTCGCACTTTAAAAACATCGTCGTCGAAAATATCGTGGTAAAATTTAAAGTACCTACAAATCATCACATGATGATAACATCACAAAAATGTGTTTTTCAGGCTTTAATAATTGTAAATGGATATTCGCATAATGATTTGTGAGCGCAAGATAAAAAGAAGGATAATTTTTACTTTCATATTTTTTATTAACTAATAAATGTACAAAAAAATAAAACAAGAAATTTAAACAAAAAAGAAATAATTTTTACTATAAGAATATCAGATTAATAAAAAGTGAAGAAATTAATCTCATAACTAACTTCAAAATTTTTTTTATAGATGAGGGCATGCATTACTTATCATCTCCTTTTTCTCATCCTTTTTTATCAGTCAAAAGCCTTAATTGACCCCTATTCGAATGATCTATAATCCGGACCTCAAAAAAAAACTTTCTGTGCATGCGCTGCGTTGACACATGTGCATAGGCCTTACGCGCGCGTAAGACCTTTTACGGACTGCGCATATGAGTGTGCGCAAGTGCAGAATACTTTTTCGCGTGCGCATTTTATATATAATGGATTATAAGCTAAAATTATCTAATTATCTATTTCAGTTAATGTTGATGATTGCATTGTTCCTTAATTTCGAATTGGATCCGGCTTATTATTTTTTGCAGACTGTAAGAGCAATTTTATAAAAGTAAGCTTAAACTTTCGATTATATCAATTACAATTTCCGATATATATTTTTTAATATGTAAGGATCTAAACGAAAGTATGTTTTGAAATCCGAAATCTGTTTATCAATTTCACGCTGCTGGCGTCGGCGGGGGGAACGCCGCGGCGGGCGCGTAATGAATTGGAAGTTGATCTGTCAGCACTATCCTTATCTTCAGCGCAGATGTTTTTTATTTTATTTGGCTTATAATTCCTTACCAAATGTAGTATTTCATCTCGATATGCTCCGTCTTTGATATGATTTAAAATCAAGTTTCCTTCGTCATTATAATTCGCTTCCGATAGCGAAGAAAGTGAAGAGGGTTATTGAACACGAAAAATTTCGATTGACAAATTAGTCGGTTTCTCTCGACACAGCAATTATAGGACTTGAACAGCGGAACTTTGTAACTGAACAAGAAATTATGTCTGTTTAATAGAATTAAAGAGAAAGTATTATCACATGAAACGAAGCAAAACTTAAACATCTTACATTGAAAGAAATGTTTAATAAAGTAAACAAATAAATATTAAGCTTTTTCTTTTTGCAAATTTTGATACCCTTTAGATCATAATTGTTCTTTATTTCATAAATTATTACGGTTTCATATTTTTAATTTTAGAATTTCTGCATGCCATCTTACGAGATTTAAAAAACTGATGATCTATAATCCGGAAAAATCGATAATCCGGAATCGCCGAAGTCCCGACGAGTCCGGATTAACGACTTTTGACTGTATTATACTTTTCATGAAAAATTACCAGTGAAACTTTATGAAAAAAATAATTTATTAATGATCTTTGTTAGTTAACTATGTCAGTTTAAAATTCTATTAAGTACTATAAGTTGCATTAGTTTTCTATGCTTACATTTCCATTTTACATTTCCAGCAAATATTTATTAGTTAATAAAAAATATGAAAGTAAAAATTATCCTTCTTTCCATCTTGTGCTCACAAAGTATTATGCAAATATCCATTTATAATTATTAAAGCCTGAAAAACGCATGTCTGCAATGTTATCATAATGCAATGATAGATACTTTATTTTTTACCACGATATTTTCAACGACTATGTTTTTAAACTGTGAAGTTTTCGAACCACTTTATTTTTGATGACAACATTTTGTACCATGATGTTTTCTCTTTGCATTATTTTCTTCCATGATGATTTGTGCCACGATGTTTTCGCCTTGTGTTATTTTCTTTGCGACGTTTTTCATCCGTGATGTTTTTGGCAAACAACGCAAAATGTAGATTTTTAAATGATACTACCAAAGATTACAGTTAGTACTCCTTGAATTGAGAATAACTGATTTATGATTCAGTTCAGCCCAGAACTGGTGCCATAGTTGGTACAGCCACACTGGAATTACTGGTACTGACCACACTGAGAAGGCAAAATTTTTAGAATTTAGAGAAGTACCAAGCAACAAAGAAAACAGATGGCAAAGTTTTTAGAATTTAAGGAGGCACTCTGCAGAGATTGCACTGGGCCACAAAATGTCTAGTACAGCCCTGGGAGTACCTTAAGTATATGTGGGGGGGGGCATGGATATGCCTTAAGCATGTGCAGGAAATAGTCTAAATACAATAAATAATTAAACTAATATTCAATAGTAATAATTCAAGCCAGTACTGTAGCTAGGATTACATTTCAAGGGAAGTTACTTTTATGTATGTTTTTGTCAATGTATTATATTTATAAACTGAAACTTCAGCTTCCTAATAAATACATTCAAATTTAATTTCATCAGCATGCGATAGAAGCAAGGCATAATTTAGCAGAATAACAAGTCATTAGTTTCCAATTTCATGATACATAGGCAATAGTATATAGCGAAAGGTAGCTAAGCTTTATGATGATAGCCATGATTTTGAACATTTGCAGATATCACAAACAAAAACAAAAATTTCTTCTAATGGAATTCATGAAAAAATGTGGAGAAGTGTTAATAAATGAAGATGGTGTAACAGAAATTTTTCACTGCAATGGTAATTATCAGTCAACTAATGGATGATGAAATCTGTAATATGTTCTAAATCTAGAAAATGTTGCTTCTGACATTGAAGGAAATGACAAAAAGGCTGTTGAGAACAAAAAAAAATTGCAATTGAGAATTTGGTGGAAATTCTTGATGTGGCAATTACAGGATTTGAACAATGTAAATTTGTAATTGAACAAACAATTAAGCCTGTCTATAGAATTAAATAGAAAATATTAGCATAAAAATGAAGCAAATTAAACAACTTGCATTGAAAGAAATACTGAATAAAGAAAACCAAAAAATATTGAGCCTTTTGTTTTGTAAATTTTGATTTGTTCGAGCTGATAAATTCTTCATTATCTCATTAATCATTATTTCATATTTTTAATTTTATATTTTCTACATGTTATCCCTCATACTAGATTTAAACTGACAATCTAATATCCAGAAAAATCCCAAATCCAGTACAGCTGAACAGCTGATGAGCTCACATCTCGGACTTTGTACTATGTTACATTACGTGCTTATCATTTTTGTTTTCTAAATAAAATTATCAGTGGTAATAAATTACAAAAATTCAATGGTCAGGTTTCAGATATTTCTAACATCTATAATCCCAGCACTTAATAAAAGATATATGGAATTAATCAAATAATTTAAATTAACTTACCTATCATAACCAATGTATAAAACTCGTAATTAACTGCCGAATAGTTTAAAGTGGGTTCAAACTCAGTCACACTGCGTTTTAGTTCCTCTCCACATTCTACGCTATGTGATCCATAAACAACCTAAATGTAATGAAGGAAAAAAATAAATAAATGTTTATAACCAGATTTGATTATAAAAAGTTTTTGTTTAATTTTCAATTGGCTGGCAACTTCTGGTTTCTGATTTAATAAACTGTGTTGAAAACAAATTATGTCACAGCTTATAATAAATATTATTAATAAATATGTTGAACATAATAAAATACATACAGTACATAATCAAACAGGTAGAAACTAGCATTACTTCTCTCAAAATTGCGAACTATAGAAAAGTTGCAGTGAAACTTAGAAGGTATTTCTCCTGCCTTCTTGGCATGCCTTCGTAGTGTGGGGGTCTGCACGCTGGGCACCTATTCCAGAGGTCTGCGGTTCAATTCCCGAAGAAGGTGTTACTCATTTTTCATCTCTTCAGCTTCCAAAAAATACCTAATGAATCTACAGTGGCACCTGAACTAAAAGGGTGGTGGTTGATGATTCCCCACACCCAGGATTTAACATTTGGGTCTCCTAAAACCCCAGTCGCCCTTTAAAAGGGAGTGTACATAAGGTGCTCCCACTTTCTTGGCATGCCTTTGTAGCGTGGTGGTCTGCCTGCTGGGCGCGTATTCCAGAAGCCCGTGGTTTGATTCCTGGTGAAGTCGTTGCTCACTTTTCATCTCTTCAGCTTCCAAAAAATACCTAATGACTCTACAAACTTACAACATTTTAAATGAAATATCATTTACTGAAGTTCTCCCTCTGACAAAAAATAGTTTTTCCCCAAAGAAGTTTTTTAGAATTTCTGTCAAATAATCTCAGCTAAACAAAATTTAAAATGGCTCTATTCACATATTGAAAATTTGCATTTTAACTGCAATACACAAGTCCCTGATTATTTCTGTATTATTCAATGCTTATGCTAACGGAACTGATATAATAATAGCATATGTTAAATTCATTGGACTATCAGGTTATGAATCCAGTGTTAGAAAGTTATATAAAATTTGCTTCTGTATATTACAAAACAAAACATTCATTGATTTGATCTATTCATCAGTAAAAAATAAAGTGCTAGCATCAATAGAAAAGTAAAAAATGTTCAGTCATTAATAAAACAAATGAATAAATAAAATTTTGAGTAGCACTATGCTAGAATTTACGCTAATTTTAATTTATGATAATACTGGGAGGGGGTGGGGGAAATTGGTTTATAACCAAAAAGAGAAGAAAACCTGCCTAATGTATTTGTAACTATTTCCTATCTCTCATATTTTGAATTTCAAGTGCAATAACTGAACTTGTTTCGTTTTATACCTAAGAAATCAATTACCCATTTCCTTAGCAAAAAAGGAGGAAATTCTGGAATTTGGAATTATCTGTATCAAAATGTATGACAAGAATGAAAAAAATTAAATTTAAAAGAATTTTTTTAATAATGAATAAACATTTATTTTTAGTTTTCAAATATTGCAATACATGCATTTATATAGTCTTTACCTAGTCCATACAATAAGAAGTGTTCATCTCATTATATTTATTTCATTGATTTAACACTCCATTACATTTTGCTTTCCCATCCAAGGCAGAAATATTCTAATTAGGTGTTACACTGGCCTACAACATGGTAAATTGTAAAGTTTTAACAGCCAAGTTAAAAGTAAAACTCATTGAACAGGTTGCTCATTCATTAAGATATATTCATAATTTTATTAATTTTAAGCAAATTTCAATTATAAGAAACTAATTTCAACTCTCCTTTTACTTCCTACATCAAATGATACAGAAAATATATGTTATGTATTTACATTATCATATTGTGTTACGTATTTACATTATCATATTGTGTTACGTATTTGCATATAATTTTGAATGGAAAAGAAACTTCCAAATAATTTCTGCATGCATGAACTGGTATTTGCTTATGCATGTCATCTGATAATAAGAGCACTGTATTAATGTATAGGGAATATGGGCACTACCTTGAGGTCCTGTGAATACAAGAGCTAATATTTTTGAAAATTTATTAAAAAATTAATGTAAGAAAAAGTCAGGATGATTGACTGAAGATTATAAGAATTTTACAGGTCCAAAAAAATTCTGAAAATATTAAATGCAGCAGACAAACATTCATGCATAATATGCACATGTAAATTAAGACTTATTTTCCTACATATTGATTTATGTCTACATTTGCTTCACAGATGAAGTGACATTCTGCATCAACATAATTTTGAACTACATGCTTTGGAAAACCGAAAATATACATTCAAGAACTAGACAATATTTCATGCAAGCTAGTAATTACCTACATTGTCTTGATATATAAAAAGGAGATAATCTTTTCTAACTAGATTTTTCAAATTATGTTAAATGCTCACACTACCTCAACTATTAAAAAAATTTTATGTTTAAAAAAAATTATATAGCCAATATTTACATCTTTACAGTTGGTAGGTAATGTGCATCAAAACGACAGATAAATATAAAACATGTCCATGTGCACTGAAACATGAGCATAGCACTTCTAAGTATGACTTATGGTGCTACTTTAGTAGACGGTTGCACGGATTTTCTTATTATCAACTGAATAAAGAAATGCCGAAAACAGCATGTCTCCTAAGAGTATCTATAATCAGAAAGTACCTAAAAGTGTCAGAGTTTCTTCCATTAATGAACAAAGCAGTTTCCAAGATATAATTTCATATATCTGAACACTTTTAACCTGAAACCCTCTATTATTTATGGATGAAAATATTTTAAAGTAGTATATTATTCATAAAAAAATTTTAATTTTTTTCTGATCATCAACTATTTCTACATAAAACTTCAAGGCAGTAACACCAAATTTGAAAATTAGCATTACCTGTGGTTTAGTATTACCAGCTATCTTAAAGATTTAATGCTCTTATCTGTTTTCCCTTATTTCTTAACATACATATCTCTTTAATCTTGAGAATTATTCTTTTCATTTAACATAAGAGTGATAACAAATTTGACATAACAATTAACTTAAAAATACATATAAATTTTCTGCTATAACCAACTAATTTTTGTAATTATTTGTTACTATATTAAACATCAAGATCTTGATGAATGTATATTTTAAAAAGTCACACGAAGTATTAAATGCAATGCATTTGTAAAAAATGTTTAACTATTCAACGCAAAAAATTAATATAAAACAAAAATATAGTTATATGTATACATTTAAATTCGCTTATTCCTTTAATTCATTTATTTACTTTAAAATGTACAAAAAGATTAAATCTTCAAATAATAGAAATTTTTTTTCAAATTCCTTTTATGGAGAGGTACCTGCAGCTCTCCTGGAACTTCATCTATAATCTCCGGTACGATTCCAGCATCTTTCCATTTGTCACGGCTACATTGGCACTTGATATAAGAAATGCACATCAAGCTAAACAAGATGAACTGCAAAATTCTAATGAAAGTCATTTAGACTTATCAATAGAAGACTTCTTATTACTTCCTATTGGAAATCAATTCTGAAATATAATTTTTAAGCGAACTGCGCACTTCACGTTTCGCCACGCACGCAGACGTAAAGCATTTCCAGTTACCGTTTCTATTGTATTTTCTTAACAAGGCATGAAATAAATTTATATACTATTTTCATGTGTAAACAAACGCACTCTTCAGCTTTTTTTTTTTTTTTTTTTTCTTTTTTATTTTTTTGTCAAAGCAATTTCGAACAGATTTAAATCTATGTTTTTGTTGATCATCAATCAATTGTACTATCAGTATTTAGCTTCAAAGGTAAAAAGGTAATAGATATTAAGGTAGTAAATGGGAGTACGCAAATTTTATTACAGTAAATGCGCGTACTGCCTTTAACGTATCTAGGAGTTGTTTATGACGTTTTAACTTTCACATTGGAATGGACTTTACGTCATATTATACAATTTCCATTTATATTACTCAGTTCCCGCAAAATCCCATACATCCGCATCGTTTCGGTTTTGAAGCTTCGAAGCCTAACTGTCACTTTTGATGTCTTCTTCTCAGATGCTACTTGCCAGCAACAGGTGGCCTCGTGGACAGAACTCGCGGAAATCTAAAACTTCAATTAGAGGTCTTTATTACATTTCTTTCAGCTCTGAGGAAGAGGGATCGCCCTCAAAATCAATAGAGTTCTACTCAAAATCTACGCCAAGTTAAGGCTTCATTTTTGCTTAATTTAAATATTACATTGGCGTATCTCTTGCAGTTTGTCTTAGATGAAAAGCGATACCTTTGAGAAAATGTCTACAAAACTGAATACGCTGTAATCATTGGTCGCTGGCATTTGTAATTAAACTCAAAAAAGTTCGTAAATATTATCAGATGTGTATTAATTATTAAAAGCACTGATGAAAAATGCGCAAAAGGCTGTTGAAATCAGGTTGTAATTTAAGCTTGGAAAATGGCAATAAAAGAAGGGGTTGACACGTAACTAGAGCTCTTACACGTTCTATTATATTTTAGATTCTCCAGCATCTGATTAAAAGATTTAAATGTTCTTTCCAATCTAAGACACAGTAGATAGCTTTGAAACCTTCTTTTTGAAGCAACTGCACAATGATAGTCAGGACATAACTTATAACGTGTCACTTTTGAACATGAACTTCAAGGCCATTATTTTTTCCTCTTGGCTTCCCTCGTAATCACTGTAACTCTGCTGTGGCAGATGATCCAATCTTCTAATTTTCTCTGCGCCTTGCAGAGGCGCCATTGCAGAGACATTCGTTACGATTGCCAATGAGAAAGGACGGTCAGTACGGCCTTGAAGTGCCTATTTTAAAGTAACAGAATATGGAATAGACACCTTTTTTTAATACTCGTAGTCTCTGGCGGAAAGTATATTGTATTGCTGAACTAAGATGAGTGGAGGAACAGGAATCACTTGCCTTTTGTGGGCAGATCTTAGCTCACTAATGCATAGAACTGAATGAGATTTCTCTTTCTCATGTCGGGCAACGAATGAGACACTGCAAGCTAACTATAAAGCGCTTTAATCTAGCATATGTGTATGGGGCGCTAAACTAAAAGGACGATCACCTTAAATTACCGGGGAAATTTATAGGAGTTTCAGCAAGACAGAAAAAATAATTTTTCCACCAAATCTTCTTGATCTTGGGACGGCTTCCAAATCAGCTTCCCAAATCTTATGATTCTTATCTGTAAATTCTGCAAAAAATTTAGATTCTGTTTTAAGGTCTGTTAAGTGTGTTTTTAAATAATTTTAAGTTATGTTCTTTTAACATCTCGAATTTCGATAGCTTTGAAGTCTTTCGTTTTACATGAAGCAGGAAACCATTAGGTGAAAGGTAGCAGCTCTTAATGGCCAAGGTTTGGCCAACAGCACCTACAGCCCTTCACCTTGGGCAACCTAAATATGTCAGAATGATTCTGTCTTCTTTCGCCCCAATTTGATTTTAAAAAAATCTGAAAGCTTTCAGATTTTATATTATACCCAAAGAAACTTTTTTTAACGTTTTATTTAATAAATATCATATCATCTTCTCACTTAAAACATAAAATTCAATTCAACAGCATATCACAAAATAATTTTTTAAAAAAAGTATATCTTTAGAATTTCCGATACACAGACTCGAGCGCTGGAGATAAATGTGTTTTTTTTTTTTCGTACAAAGCTGCCATTGCTTGCTTCGAAAGTTTAAATGAAATGCAGGAAAAAATACGTATAATTTAATATTCCATACAAGGAAGTCATGTGGCGTACATATCAGTTTTTATTTATTTATTTATTTTTTATTTTTATTTTTTGCGTATAGTTTTGCCATTCCTCGATTTGAAATCGTTGAGTTTCTGAATCAAAAACTCATAAATGCTTTACAAAATATAAAATACATAATAAAACAAATTCCAAATTTGGGCTACTAGATGCCCATTCGGGTGGAGACATACGTTTCTCAAAATTTGGTAATTCTAGTTACCGTTATTTTATTACAGTGCGAGAAACATACATACATTTATGCCGATTCTTCATTACTTAATTTCTTTAAATGTAATACAGTTCGATAATATTTGGTGGCAACAATCAACAATTTGAAAAGTGATTCAGACTTTTAAATTTTTGACTCAAAATGCCAAAACGAAATTAATAGAGTGTGTAATACATGATCGGATATATGACTTGTGAATTCTTTTGTGATGACCACCAAACATCTCTCAGTAAAAATACCGATTAATTATTTGCTCTGGAGGAAAAGGAATTCGTCGTAAACGATCCTTTCATTGCCAAAAACTGTGTCTAATTTCTGACTCGTATATTGCTGTTTTATTGGTCGAGAGACGGAGCGGGTATATCATTCCTTATTTCACCTTTTCATTTCGGCGTCGTACTCAAGTACTCAACATTTGCCACCAGTTATATTGCGTTACAACTGCTCGTCGATCGTGATACAATTACTCAGAAACTGGCACATTTGATCTTTTGCTCTTTTTGTTTGATGGTGAGGTTCCTTCGCACCAAGCTGGCGCTCATTTCATGCACGTTCAATTTATCAAAATTTCATGCACAATAAAAGCATTCAAATTTAATTCAACACCAATTATCCTCACTATCAGCAGACAATGTCAGGAAATAATGTTTCTAATGTTTTTAATGTTTGTTTCGTTTTTGTTTTTAATGTTTCTTTTCGTCTTTGATGTTTATAGTCATATGAGATTGGTTTCATCTTACCTATATCCCTGCCCACCAGTAAATTCCTCATGCAACTTGAATATCTGCTTCGTGATTTGTTTTCTCCATACGTTCTTGTCACTCACTCATGTACTGTATCATGCAGCTTAAAGCAGAACTTGAATACCTCCGTTCCTTTGTATTGCCTCCATGAAGTCACTATGATACATAATTGAACTATATAGCTTAATAGTCCCGCTTTGCCTTCCTCACTTCTGCTACCAGTCATCCAGTATTAGATATTACGTGAATCATTGCAGTATTACCAGTTCATGAACAGTGTTGGCAGTCTCAAGCTCCAAAATTGTTGCAAATACATTAGAAGGACGGTTTTTTGTCTCAGCTGCCATGATTTGTATTTTTAAGTATTAAATATTGTCATTTTTAAGGATTAAATATCTCACATTTAGGTGATCGTATCTTAAACATAAGATAAGTTTTTTTTTCCACATCATACAAATAAGATTGTATTAATGAAAATAATTGTGTTGATAAATGAACATCTCCTCGGACTATCAGATGACAGGAATTTCATTATCATAAATAACCCTTGATAACACAATATATAAGCAAAAGATTTTGAAGAGTTTCACACTTTAGATTGACTGTACATTTAAAAATATATCTGAAAAGTTCAGATTTTAAGGATCTCTCAAGAGGGCTCTTTAATTTTATCCCCCCACATTTTATTAAGAAAATGCAAGGTACTGAAAAATTCGAAAAAACTGAAATTTAGGGGTGATTCATTTGTTCTGTGCTATCGAGATTTCGGAACAATCAAACACATCATCATCAGAATTGACTGGACTTACAAGTTAGAAGAATATAAAGAACTGATATGGATTTTGGTTCATTTGATTATGGCAAAGCACTCAAGGGCTACCTGCCTAAGGAGAGGGTTGTCTTCTTGGAGGATTTTCTGAGGGAAATCGCTTCGTATACATGTTACACATGGGGAAAACCATGAGCACACCCATGCAACCAGCTCGTTCGCCAAAATTGGAAAACCGGGACCAAATTACCCCTGTTCAGCGACTTTACTGCTCGGCCGCTTATGGACTGTAAACTGATGACGAAGTGAAGCAAAATAAGAGGATTTAGTGTGATATGAGTGGGCACTGATCAAATCAAGGAGTTTAACAAATGGATGTTACACTACTTCAGAAACTGATTTTGTAATTTTTGGCATTTCTTTTTCTTTCTTTTTTTTTTTTTTAAATACCTATAATTGCTATATAAATTACGCACTATCTTCCACTTCATCAAGGCTACCAGTATGGGTGTTAGCGATTCAAGTCTCTGTCGGGCTCTTATGTGTTCTCGTTGTACTACTTCCGTACTTCCCGTATCATTTACTGATAAACGGTGAACTACGCGATATTTTCGAACTTACGAACCCCTAGAAACTCTTACATGTTCGAAAAGCGGCATTATGTTACTTTGGGATAGCGATGAAACGCAGATTCCCATTTCCGTGAGGTATATATTTGCCTGAGCCAACAAGAACTGAAATGAATGAAAGAGAAAAATGGCGACGGAGGCGATTAAGGTTTATTATTATTGGGAATACTTTTGTCTTTCTCTGATTATTGTTTACTGTTATATTTTTAGGAGCTTCTCAGTACTTTCAGACTTGCTATCTAACAAAATAAAGGGATTTTTTTAATGCTATTCTCTTTTTTTATTATTTTATCTTAACAATAGGTAGATACATAATTTTCTTAACAATGCTTTTCTAGATTTACATCATTTTACCGTGACATTTGTTTTTGTAAACAAAACAAATTCATAACAATGAATTTTTTTTTCCGCCAAACCTGGGAAGAAAAAATATTGTAAAAATGGAATAAGTGTAAGTTTTTTGAAATTTTGTGTGCGAGGGGGCTCATGAACAACTAAACTGAATTGTTTACATAAAACTGGATTACATTGATTTTAGTTACATCAATCTCCTAATCTTTTGTTGTTAACTTCTGACATTCTTGTGGGGAGTGGGATGGTTTTTTTGTTGCTCCTGTGCAAAACTTGACCTTTATCACGTCGACCCTTTTTACATCACCGGATTCAATCGTTTATTAAAGGGAAAGTTATGTATAAGCTTTTGTAAATTGTGCATATAAGAGCAAATAAAATTTCTTTTAAGTTTGTGATGCCTAATAATGTGTTTCTCAGCAAACGAATGTAAATAAATTATATCATTTAGCGTTCTGTTTTTTTTTATCTAATAATAGAGATTTAGTAAATAAAATTAATTACGTTCTTGCAAGTT